GTCGCCCGCGCCCTTCAGACCCAGCCCAGGGCGACCCCGCGGAAGGACCCCTCGCCGGGCACCTGCCCCCGAGTCTCCGAAACACTCGCTGCGTGGCCAACACCGTGAACAACACCGAGACGCCGCAGGACAGCGTCTCCGTGCATTTCGGGTGGGGGTTCATAAGATGGGTAGATTTTCAGTGACTGAGCCAAGTGCAACAAGCAAGGGCACTGGGGACTTTTATTTATATTTGCTTTGACAACACACCAAAGGCATCAACTTAGTAAGTAATCTTTCCTGCTGGCGTCTGCAAGCTGGTTATTTTAACCACACTTTACAAACAGTAATAACAACGAAACAATAATTATGGAGAAGTCAACTGGATAATAGAGCTTTTTCACAATTCAAATAGAAACAACATTAAGAAACTAGGTAATTTTAAGTCCTGTAACTGAAAACACTATGGGTGCAAGCCTGGGCTGGGTGACCATATTGTCTGTGTCACGGCGGCCTTAACAAAGGACTAATCGTGTGTGTGACTCTGGGGAAATGTCTACGATACAGGAATTCTTCGGGAGTTCAGCGGTTCTCTAGAGGTTTTAAGAAGGACCACAACAGCCCTCCTGGATGGCTTCTTTCTAAATAATGTGAAAAACGAACGAGAAACCACTAGGGTTTTCCAGGACTATTTTCCCAAGGGGAGGCGGCAAGAGGACTGGGCCCCCGGGGCCTGCTCTCACCCTCCATCGCTGGAGTCGGGGCAGGCAGTTCTCCCAGGACTGCGGGATCCCACGCGCTCCCCTCTGGGCCAGGCGAGCAACGCTTGCACGTCACATACTTCCTCCCAAAACAGGGAGTTCTGATCACCATTCAGGCCCCAGGTGCAGGGAGAGCGTGTCTAGATGCCCCTGCTTGTCACTGACCACCTGGCCATGCACTTCCCCCACCGCCTGTCTGAACCAGAGGTTTCCTCGCAGGAACACGTATTCACGTTTCCTGGCCGGGCCCTCTACTCAATTTTCAGCCCCTTGGATTTAAACTCAATGTGGAGAATCTGCGACAAGCACCTTCCGAACTCCTCCAGGATGATCTGCTCTGCCAGGCACTGGGAACAGTGCTCCTTCTCGGCCTCCTCGCCCTGCGCGAGCAGGCAGGCGCACGTGGCCTCCACCACCTCCCAGGAGATGCACGAGGTAGGCCGCCTGTGGGAGACACACCGGTTAAAGGCCACGCTCCGCAGCTGGCGGTGTCCGCATGGACAGTCTTTTCTATTCAGCAGAGCGGTGCTTGTCCCTGCTATCTTAAAGAACGCCACTGGGCAAAATCTAATTTCCTAATGCTGCAAACCAGGACTTACTTTTAGAAGGACAATACAGCGGACAAGTAAACCTGTTGGTTTCTTGACATTCTTCATGGAAGATTCTAGATGTTCTCACAATTAGATCTATTGACACACCCAGAGGATTCCGAGCTTCAGACTCAAAGTCATGGGCCTGACGGGGTTGGTGCCGCAGGACTCTGTGTTTGAGTCCTGTGTGCGATGTCAGCACTAAGGAAAGCCAGGCTGGTGTCAGTCCCTCCTCCCCACCGGAGCGTTTGGAGCTACCGAATGCCGAAGGTTCTGGAGACTCGCCCATCCTGCCTGGGGTTGTGCGGTCAGGATGCCCCTGGAGCCTTCAGAGATTCTGAAAGATGGGTTGTGCCGTAGCAAGTCGGAACAGCCATTTCCCCACTGAGCTTGCGGGGCAGCTGTGGCTTTGCCAGAAGCTACCCAGCCAGTGCTCAAACTGAAGAATCTTCAGGAAAACTTTACCAAAAATTAACAACGACTGGATTGTGAAGACACAGATAAATGCTGGATTCGTTGAAGTCTCTCTACAAACACGATGCACGAGGACTGTTGTTGAAAATGAAGGGCGGGGGCTGCCCTTGGGAGCAGGTTGTCCCACTGTGGGACCAGACTCCGGCGTGCGGGAGCTCCCTCACACTTCAAGGGACACGCAGCGTCCCCCGTGTCAGGCCATGACGTTTTGCACATTGCCCAGAGACCCAGCCAGGTTTTGATACATTTTTATACTGGCGGAGAACTCTGCCAGGGGTCACAGTGGTGAATATTTCTGATGTCTCTCTAGGTAAATAAGCATGATTTGGGCTTTTCTGGGTGATATTTATTACTTAGTAACATCGGGTACTTTATCACGATGGGACCCCTTACGGTGAACTTGAAGAAATGTTTAAATGGATGAATCGAGTCTGACATCGGATACGATTGCTCAAACTTTGAGCCGTACTAGGATTATAATGTGGCTTCAAAATTGTTAATTCAAAAATACGCAGCTAATCTGGAACCCACAGTCACTTTAGCAAGGAACACAGCGTGTGGCAGGCATGTCTCTCGCGGCCACCTTCCGTGAAGGGATGGCATGTCCGCTGTCTGAAGCCCATTCCTTGCCACATGCGGTCTCACTCAAAGGCACATCACAGTGCTGCTGGCCCTGGTGATCCTGGCGGTGGCCCCGTTGTCTGGTACAAAATGGGGGTAGCTCAGACAGCAAGGACAAAAAGGCAAGCCAAGAGGACAAACGGGACAAAGCAGGTTTCCGCGGCGGGGCCCTCTAAGGAGACACAGTGCATGGTCCACGGTGAGTCCAGGTGAGGGGGTGGGGAATGGCTTCCCTCCTGCCCCAGGCATGGTCCCC